CGTGCTGCTTTCTGCCTTCCTACTACTCCTTCAGTGTTTTTGTTTTCCTTCGTTTGCAGTTGAAGAACTGATCGAATGAGACAGAAGATCTCCAGGAAAAGTGTAAGTGAGGAATCAAATCTTGTATTTTAAAAGGCAGCTTCATCTCTCACAGTTCAATAAAACATTCCTAACACCAGGCTTTGCTTTGCTTCTGCCTATTGGGATTTATTTGCCCACCTCTTGCTTACTGGTTAGGGTGATTTAGTAGAGGCAAAACACCCGTGCCCCTTCTAACCTTATTAATGGCAGTTATTTATAATGGTTTAATATTTTATAAAGATTACTGGCAGAAAAAGGGCCCTACGTGCATTCCAGCACGTGCCTAATGTATTCATGTGGAAGGCACAAATCAAAGATGGTTTACGAGAGCTGGCTCTGCATGCTCACGCGGTCGCTGCAAAGTCTACCCTTCAGCAGCCAAGCTCTGCGCCTCCCCGCTTTGACTCAAAAAGGGTAAAAACAACAAGAAACAGATACTAAGTTAGGGGAAAAAAATAAAAATCTAATTATTGATGGAAGAATGGCATGGTTTATTTGCCACCTTGTTTTTCCCAAAGCAGTGAAATCCCTGAAAGGCCAAAACGCATTGGGCAGAGAGGGATGTGGGAGGGATGTGGCCGATTTCTCGTTGTGCTTAGGGAGTGGTTTTCAGGGTGATGGGTGATGGCTTGGTGACCTGACTAACCAAGTCACAGAGCCAGAGCACTAGGATGAGTGTTGGGTTTGCAACCCACGTGCCTTTTGGGAAGTTCCTTAACGTGTTGTAGTGTTTCTATGAGTAAAAGGCACTTTGCTGGCAGTTTTTTAAACAGTGTTTCAGTTAGTCTTGCCTTCGTGCTTCAAAGCTGCTGAGTCCTCGTCGCTGACACACGGTATGTTTATTTACAGATGGACATTGGTGCCAGGCAGCTCAAACACAGCTTCTAACAGTCCCAGAAACACCGCAGAGACAATGAGAGTTCGTCTCAAAGGAGATGCGATCTGTACCCTCTTCCTGCTGGTAGCACTTTGCTCTTTACTCTACTCCCAGTTGGAACATTTAGTCCCAGCAGGAAACAAGGAGCCAACACAGAAGCAGAAGCCTTTGGTAACACCAAAAACATTGTCTGACCCCAGACCACCTTGGAAACCAGTACCAGCAGAGGCAACAGTACCCAGCCCTCAGGTAACTCCTATTGTTAGACGGACAGAAGTGGCCAACAACAGAGTCCAAGCTACGACTCCAACCCCGTTGACTGATTCTGCCTTCAACTTCAAGCACTATCTCCTAAACAAGGATAACAGGAACTTCAATCTCCTCATTAACCAGCCCAAGAAATGCAGGAAGACACCTGGAGGTCCCTTTCTGCTCATTGCTATCAAATCAGTCATTGAAGACTTTGACAGACGTGAGATTGTCCGGAAAACTTGGGGCAGGGAGGGCTTGGTGAATGGGGAGCAGATCCAGCGAGTGTTCCTTCTGGGAACACCAAAGAACAGGACAGTGCTGGCAACATGGGAGACCCTGATCCAGCAGGAGAGTCAGGCATACCGGGACATTTTACTCTGGGACTTCATGGACACTTTCTTCAATCTGACCCTGAAGGAGATCCACTTCCTGAACTGGGCTGCTGAATTCTGCCACAATGTGAAATTTATTTTTAAAGGTGACGCCGATGTTTTTGTCAACGTCGAGAACATTGTTGACTTCCTGGAGAGACATGACCCTGCTGAGGACCTCTTTGTTGGAGACATCATCTACAATGCCCACCCTATCCGTGTCCGAAAGAGCAAATACTATATCCCAGAGACCATGTATGGGCTGAGCATCTATCCAGCCTACGCAGGAGGAGGAGGGTTTTTGCTGTCCAGCTGCACCATGAGGAAGCTCTCCAGGGCTTGCAGAGAGGTGGAACTCTTCCCCATCGATGATGTCTTTTTGGGCATGTGCTTACAGAGAATCAACCTCAAACCCATTTTGCATGAAGGATTCAAGACCTTTGGCATTGTCAAGCCCTCTGCTGCCCCACACCTACAGACATTCGACCCCTGTTTTTACAAAGATCTCATGGTGGTCCACAGTCTGAAAGTTGCTGAGATCTGGTTAATGTGGAACCTGCTCCACAGCCCACGTCTTTCCTGTACTCAGAAAAAGCAAGTGAAGAAGCCTTTCCAATGGAAGAAGAAAGCTCAAATAACAACACAGGCACCACCCCTCAGATAACGCAGGCAGAGCGCAGCAGGAACACACAGCAACCCAGCTGAGAAAGGGAACCTGGAACTGTTGCAACCAAATGAACAACTTTAGAAGTACATTATTTTAGCACATCTTATTTACAATGTTAAGAAAAGACGAAAAACTATTGCAGGAATTTGCCAAAATTCCACATTTGCACACACATATGGTGTAGGACTTTCTCCATTAGTGAGTCCAAATAATCATAACAGTATCTTTAATTTATTATTATTTATTAGAATTATAGTAGTGCTTAGTGGGCCAGTGGGTAAAAGCACATTGCAAAATTGCAATCCTTGGAGGTTTTTCAGCATTGTTAAAAATTTGAGAAATTGCAGAAGACAGAGGGTAAGAGACAATGCCAAGGACCACAGGGATAATTGTCAACTTGTTACCTTGACTCATTGAGAAATGACCAAACTACACAGTAACTAGAGTAAAGGAAATCAAGTCACCTTCGTGTATGCTCAAATCAAATCACCACTGCCTGGTTGGCCTTCTGTAGGCCTCATAACAGGAGAAGAAAAGAACAACTAACAGCTACTGAAATGGGGTCCTGTACATTGCAGATAGGATGGACAACAGGAAAACAAACTGGAGGCTGAAGGTTGAGCAAAGGACAGGTAAGCAAACAACTGGGAAGGGGCTGACTTCTGAAGGGCCTATAAAGAAAGGAAAAGAAGAACTTTGAGTTGATCCCTCTAAGTCTTGATTTTTCATTATTCATAGCAACACCTCAGTTCAAATATCAGCTCCATTGATACACTCAGGACTCGGGGGACCTGGTTTTGGCACTTCTACGAGCTCAGGATCTCTACACCGTGCTGACTGGCACTCAGTGAAAACTCAGAAACAGTATCTGATCTCTCTCACCATCTAATCCAGATCTTCAGAAGGTTTGCATCTGGAGACATCCCTTGGCCTAAAAAGCGTAAAACCACACAGAGCTGCTGCTTGTGTCACATTTGGGAGCTTCCTTGAACCAAAGGAAGACTTGTCAATGGACTAGGTTAGTTTCCATAGGCAGCGGTGCTCTCACCTGGCCTATAGTCAACTGCAAAGAGCAGCCAATACTTTCCATACTGCTGCGGGTGTCACGTGGAGGGAGAAAGTCTTCAGACAAAAGGGCTTCAGAATAAAAGCTTTTCTAAATTTATCGCAAGAAAGCAAAATCACACAGCAATTTTTCTGTTGGGCTTTCCAAGTTTCAGTCAGTCTGTAACTTCACAGTATTTTAAGCATCAGACAAGAACACTGGATTGCTTAGTTTTCCAAAGAGTCATTGATACTTTAAAGCATTTTGTTTTTTCCAGCAGCAAATTATCTTAAAAGAACATGTTTATCTTGAACATCAAACAGGAAGTAAATTCCTTTAAATCAGGGCTAAAAAGCTATGAAATTCATGGGGCAAAGAGTCTGAATTCACCTCTGACACTGTGTTTGTTAATACTTTTGCAACTTCTTCCCCCTCAACAAAACTCCTGTCCATCAGAGAACCCCTGATGCCATCCCTCTTCAGGAGGGCACAAACACACTGCTTCAAAGGAAACTACAATTAGTTGTAAGTGTCCAGGAAGTTGCTTTCGCTTAAACAGAACTTGCAGTGCAGCTGCATTTCATATCTGGGTAGAGCCTTCCTCCCACCCAGTACTGAGTCTGGGCTCAGTACTCGTATTAACTATGCACAACATGAAGGAAAGCAAGCTCGTAATATCTAGTGGTAGACTATTACAACAGTCTTACACATCATCTTCCTAACAGTTTAAGCCTTACAGTGATGTATTTCCAGGGGAAGGTCAGCTACACAGAAATCAAAAGACCCTGTGGTGATTTGGGATATTTTCAGGGTGCAATCCTGAAACACAAAACGCTCACGTGAGCTTTACAAGGAGCGCTGTAGGGTGTGGAAATGAGCCAGAGTCTTGCTCGTGGGAGAAAGCCAGTCACACCCCTGTTTGCTAACACGTGTGATACATATGTATTTATGAGCTTGTACAGAAATGTATTACCTGTGATTAGTTTCCAGTTTGGGAAATTATTTATGCCATAATTAAAAGACAGCATGCAGACGTGCCGCTAGTTGTCAGAGTGAGTCTGTTGAGTACACCCGTACACACACTTTATGACTGACACCACATGTCTTTTTCATGAAGACAGCAACGTGAAAAATACATAATTCATTATTTTGGATAACTTGGTAAATCTTTCCTTATGCTGGACTTAATTTAATGGTAGTGACAGAAAAATAACACAGCTTACCTTATGATTTGCTACAAGGCAGCTAGTCAAGTTCAGCAGTCCTTATTAAGATATTCCTTTTAGGCTTGGAGATAAACAGAGATGGGCTTCTCCCTCTAGAACGTCTTCAGATCTGCAATCTACCCACAATACAGCATTAATGAGTGTATTTTGTCCCAGATCAAAGTTGATGTTCAACACCCACCTGTGCCAGCACATACCCTGATAGCTAGAGAAACAGAACTGGAGCAAACTGTTTACTCTGCTGTCTTACTCTGTGGAGTAGCTAATTTCTTTCAACCAAGGAATACTAAATCTAGTATCTCTTAATGAAAGATACAACTGCTTTTGTTCATGAGCCTCTGCTGCGTGATCCATTTGACCTGGTTTTAAGAGTTTCCATTTGCTTCTGCAGGTGAGCTAGAAGTTTACAAACCCCAAATGCGAGCCCTGGGGAAATACTGAAGGGCAGTGCTGCACCCTCTGCAGTTTAACACATTCTCCTTACTGCTGCAGCTGGCAAAAAAAGTCTTTCACTTCACCCAAGCTGGAGATTGTTTCCTAGAAGATGGGGGTCTTTTCAGAAAAATCTTAAAAGCTTAGGTGTGCATGAGAATTGGCAGGAACAACCCTCTACCAACCTTTCTGGTGCATCTCGGAAAACCAAACCCATCCATTTCAGATGGATGACATTCTGAGATGAATGACATTCTGAGCAGCTTTTATTAACTGGCTAATTCAATGCACCTGGCAGAGTTTTCCTACAAAGCCTTGCTTGGCAGTTTTTTTCATGACTAACCCACTATGAGAAAAGAAAACATAAAAACATCCTAAGTGGGTTCCACCAGCAGCAAGGAAAGCAAACAGACTTCCTCGAGACAGACACAAACATCTGAAGCTAGTAGAGTACAGTAGGTTTTATTGAATCCCAGGGATCCACACACAGTCAGATTTTGTTCCTACTGTACGTAAGTAGCCAGATTTGGTCATTATAACAAGCAGAGCTGGCTTGAACCTCACATTCAGCACCTCCAAATGCAGCTCTGAACACATAAACTGGTAGCAAATGCCAAGATCCATCATTTGGTGAGGCCACTGCTGACTTAGGCATCATAAAAAAGAAAGCCAAAGACAGCTCTGAAGCAATGGAGTGTTAAAATATTGTGCTTCCTGTCTGCACTTTAATTATTCATCTTTCTACAGCAGGTTCTCAGAAGCAAACCTCAACTGCAAAAATCAAACAGTACAAAATAATTGAACAGCTCAGAGAATCCTCACTGAATGGCAGCACTGAGAACATTCCCTGGAGAG